AAAAGGAGTATCCACAGTATCTGTAAGATAATTTTCAAGATAGCAGGCTGAGGATGGCATCACGAATTCTTTATAATTTTAACTATGTAATGTACCAATTGAGAAAACAAAGATAATCCATGCCATATCGCCCAAATTACGGACTTATAAAAATCAAGATTGAATAGCAATAAATAAGTTTAAAGTATGTAAATGAAATATACAATTTTTGGAATGAGGTGATTGGAATAGATTGAATACACCCAAGATTAGGGAAGTTTAGGTGAATCAGATAAGACCAAGATTGATAATGCTCATCTTAATTTAATGAGAAAATTTCACTCTAAGATCCTGGCCATTAGACGAATGATAGATCGAAATCAAACGGAATTTAGGTTATTATGTCTAGAGCAAAGGGCTTAAAAACTGGCATGACTGTCAAATAAGCTGCTTAAAAGAAGCAAGGATTTTTAGTAATGAGAAGAAAGATGGAGCAAGATCAAAGGATTTTTATTTCTGAGACTAATGTGAGCCCATTCAATTAAGGCAACCATTAAGCAACCAGGAAATGTAATGTTAAAGACCTGCGAAGGTAGTAGAGTGTCCTTAAAACGACCCTGTTTAGCAAATCGAGAGGCGACCGTCTCATCCATAAAGCACCGAACCTAAAAAGAAACCTCCTATAATGGTGTCCCTTGAAGAAGTCTTCAAACAGACACATTTTGCTTTAAAGACAGGCAAAATGATTAAGTCATTTAACTTGGGAAGCCAAAATGGATCAAAATCAGCCTATCTTACCTCATTTGCATGCAGATCATGCTGTTTACTGAACCGAGATTGCAGGTGAGGGTAACGATAGAATGTCAAGATCCAATAAAACCCAATTAAAACTATGTATGCTTGTGTTACAGCTAGTTTGGCATGCATTTTCAGTGGCGTAGATTAATATTATTGTTTATAAATTGTTTGACCTTGTTTTCGCAACTTGGCCATATTGGTAAGAAGACTAATAGGAAAGCACCTTTTCCTGAGTCCATTGTATGCATAATTATTTTCAAAGTCGGACCGTGGACGCGGTACATTGCCAGACGTTTAGCCGGCCTCGTCAGTGAGTTTTACCATTCGTAGCACCATATTACAACGCGTCAGAGACAAGTGAAGCCGATCTTTTGACCAAATCTGTGCTAAACGGTTATGGTATCTTCTATTCTGCCCTGGCCTATTCACATTTCCTATATCCTCCAATCACGCCTCCACTGTCACAATATTTTACTTGCTTAATTAAATGTGGTACGGTGTGCCCTTTTTTTATAAAAAGCGGCTTTTATGAGAACCCTCAGCACTCCATGATGGCCTTCACACCACCCTTCATCCTTGTGCTGGGAGTGTTCATCAGACTCTGCCATATTGTTACGCAGTCCTCCTTCCTTTCTTACCACAGTCTCTCTCTGGCCCCGCAACAACCGTCTGCTATCTCTCTGGTTCCCATATTTCACTTGACCCCTGCCACCCTATTTGTGCCAACTTGAGGCGTTATTAGCCTTACCCTGCGTCTAGATGGCTAATTCGAGGCTAAAGCCTCTGAGTAAGTCTCATGGTCAGGACCTTGTCACACGTGTCTTGTCACCACATCTCTTGTAAAACCTACTGTCAACCCACTAGCTCCAATTGCCGCCGCGTCTATCCTGTTTCTATCTCTAATACCAAGTCTATGACTTTCCATGCCCTAGTCTCTTGTGTGCCAACCCACAAATGTTGTGGTACTGCTTGCTTTGATTAGGTTCAATGTAGAACCACAATGTTTGTGGGTTGGCACACAAGAGACTAGGGCATGGGAAGTCATAGACTTGGTATTAGAGATAGAAACAGGATAGATGCAGGGGCAATGGGAGTTAATGGATTGACAGTAGGTTTTACAAGAGACGTGGTCCATGTGACAAGGGCCTGACCATGAGACTTACTCAGGGGCTTTAGCCTCGAATTAGTCACCCAGACGCAGGGTAAGGCTAATAACGCCTCGAGTTGGCACAGATGGGGTGGCAGGGGTCAAGTGAAATATGTGAACCAGAGAGATAGCAGGCGGTCGTTAAGGCGCAAGAGAGAGACTGTGGTAAGACCTAAGGAAGGAGGACCGCGTAACAATATGTCTGACTCTGATGAACATTCCAAGCACAAGGATGAAGGGTGGTGTGAAGGCCATAGTGGAGTGCGGAGGGTTTTCATCAAAGCCGCTTTTTAAAAAAAGGGCACACCGTAGCAAGTAAAATATTGTAACAGTGAAGGCGTGATTGGAGAATATAGGAAATGTGAATAGGCCAGGGTAGAATAGGAGATACCATAACCGTTTAGCACAGGTTTGGTCAAA